AGCCTGGCACCCGCTACCGGCCTGTGGTTTGTACTGCTGCAGGGAATAAAGCAGGGCCTCCGCTGAATTACAACTGTGCACAAGCAGGAGGACAAAAGTTTAAAGCAGCGCAGTTTGGACCAAATCAACCCCGTGTTCTGCGTTTGGTCGTTTATTAAGAGCGGTTTGCAGAAGGAGGGATGGTTCGTATCTTTGTGTTATTGATGATATTTGAGGATTTTTCTCACCAGTGTTTCTGTGCCGGTCTGTCTTTTGAACAGACTCATGAGAGATGGTTCAGACGGAAATACACAAGGACATGGCATTAAACTTATCTCCTCTGTCTCTCTGTGTAATCACCTGACTGCAGATCACAGTGGCTGGAGATAAACACGGAACTGTTTGTTTGTTTTGACATAGTTTGACCAGACAAGGGCCACTTAGGTCAAGGAAGTGAAGGAACTGGAGACACAAGATATTTCATTGCATAATTGGAATACACACTAGAAAATAAGAAGCAGGAGCAGTTTTAGTAGCATTAGTAGCTGTAGTAGGTTCCTTTAGTCATCGAAATCCTGGAAAAGTCAGGAATTCTGTAAATTAAATGAAAGTTTTGGAAAAGTCATGTAATTTTTAGAGATGTAACAATAACCGAAATAAGTCTCACAATAATATCGAATTACAAATTTCTTTACTTAAATGCAGGTTTTATAGAGGGGTCTGGTCAAGTGGTAACGAAGGGAAACGGGGCAGATTTTTGACATTCAAATGTCTCTTATTCAGAAACTAGAGGGACTATTGAAATAAGTAAAGTATCAGAATGTAGGAAAGAGTTACACTCCAACAGGGTCAAGTTAAACCTGTGATATTCTTTCAAGTTGTTGACAAAAAATAAAAAAACTCATGTCGGTAACAGAGGGAATGAAATATGCAGCACTTTTTGGGCAATAAATCCAAACAGTGATAACTCTTGGTTCTCACTTCCATATCCTTAACAAACTGGTTTGAATATTTGCTTCATATAGTTTTCTACCATATGGTACAAGATTAGGTTGAAAAACCTCTTACTTTTTGAGTGATGAGATTTTTTATTAAGAAAGGTCATGGTAACGGAGGGAAAAGTAATGGAGCGAAAATTGTGCAAACAAGTAGAAGGTGCAGGATTTTACATCATTTGTCACTTTCATCTTCTGAATACTTTAATATTACTTCAAAATGAAAGGAAACTATTTCTATTAAATATGTCAGTCCTTCCAAGCAAATTTTTATCATTTTAAATACATTTTTTTTGAAAAATCCTGTACCTTCATCAACAGTTCAAAGATGGAATAACACAAGATATGATGAAATACATCCATTTATTGACATGATTTGCAGGTCTTTGAAATTTGGGAAATAATTTTTGTTCCATGTTTCATACATGGTCTGTTTAAAACATATGGAACTTTAGAACCAAAACATGGTACAGAAAAAAGGTCAACAGTTTCATAAACTAGAGTACATATGTATCTGTTCAATACATTTTTATATCAGATGTATTAACTTGACTTTTTGGCCTTGTTGTTTACTTCTGCTTGACCGGGCCTAGAGGCAACATTTTATAAACATCGGAAACTACATATCCCATGATTCATTTCAGTGCAGACAACATGAAGAAACATGTTTTTTTACTTGAATTCTTCCAATTATGATGGAAATACTTCACACTAAAATCTTGTCAAGGTATTTTAAAAGCTACAATTATATCAGCCTCTTCAAAATATTGCAATAAATATTGTACCGTGAATTGCATATCCTGATAATATCGTACTGAGAGATTTGGATATCGTTACATCCCTAGTAATTTTAGTATCTCTTTCACGCAGCTACAGCTTTGTGTTAAGTTCTCATGAAGCTGTTATGATTATTTCCGAGCATCTGCACCTTTTGTTTAAAAGAGACGACAATAAATGCACTGACAGGATTTTGAATGTTCAAAAACTATAATCCCAAACCATAAGGTGAGTGGAAAGAGTTCACATTTCATATTTAACCCTAAAAGTCTGATTAATTCTACACATGTAGGTTGCCGTAAAGTCATGGAAAATTCACTTTAGGTCATGAAAAATTTATGGAAACGTTTTGAAGTTTTGTCAGTGAAAAAGAGTGGGAACCCTGGTAGTAATAGTAGTAGTAGTAGTAGCACTAGTGGTAGTAGCAGAGCCAAAAGTCCCATTTGAGACCTGCTTTAGTCCTGGTTTATATCTTTGTCTTTGTTTAGTGGTTTAAATCCTGGTTTAGTTTAAGATGATGCAGAGTTAGTTGTGATAAAGTCCTCATTTGCCCTTAGACTTGCTTTATTCCTGCTTTAGTCCTGGTTTAGTTCCACTTCGTCTCGTGCCATCTCGTGGTTTCTGCTGAAAGAGGGCGAAAGTTTAAACTAACAACTTTCAGACTGATTCTTCTTTATAAAAAAAAAAAAAAAAAAAACGTGATCAAAGAAAAGCGCTGTCCAATTGTTCTGTTTAGGCTACACACACAGCCGAGCCATGTGCAGGCCGGTGTTCTGTGATTGGTTTATTTGGACTGGAGGAAGCTAACCTCTCATTTCAGACTGGAACAGGATGAGGAGCTGAAGGAACCACGTTAGCTCGACCTTGGTGGTATCGCCATGACAGTGAAATATTCCCAAATAAAATGTAGCGGACTGTGGAGAGTCACGCTGAGAGGCCATTGGCAAACCTCTCCTTCACCTCGGCTCACTTGTCCTTAATAAAAGAGCTTCAGAATGTGCTCTGCTGGCTATTTTAGTCACAGAAAGACTTTTGTGTCTTGAATCCATTTAAATGTCAAGCTCATGGTTTTTGCTGGGTTTGATTTTTGGACTTTTTTTGGGTGTACATTCACTTTTTGTAGATGAATTGTTTGAAAACTTTAGTGGTAGGCTACTGTGGCTCAGGTGGTGGGGTGGCTGTCTTCTAACTGGAAGGTTGGTGGTTCAATCCCAGCTCCAGCCAGTGTGTACTGTGACCTATGTTTATGTTTTTTAACTTGTTCTGTACAGTGTCCTTGGTAGGACTTGCTATCATTAAGAAGTTGCCGATACGATACATACCAAAGGTCACGATACATACCTCGAAACAGAGGCCACGATACATACCTCAATACAAAGGTCACGATACGATACATACCTTGATCCAAAGGTTGTGATACGATATGGTTTTCGATACAGTGCACTTTTGGTCCAATATGATTCGACACAATATAGTTCAAAACGATTCGATATGGTTCAGTAAAAAACAAAGCTTAAGTCATGGCTGTGAGACTAAAAGTCTTTATTAAACCACTAAGTTTACCTGAAAAACGCCCATTTTTACGCAAAACAGGGAAAATTTCAAGCGTATCTCATAAACAAGTAAACTTTCTCCAAACAAGCAACACAAGTGTAACTATTTCACAAAATAATTTTGTAAAATATACAAAAAAATACTCTTGGCGATATATAGATACAGCAGCCTACGATACCAAAACCGTATCATCAAATTAAACAATTCTGTGTATCGATATTTCAGTATTTTTGTGCACCCCTAGGCCTTGGGTGTTTTGAAAAGCACTTATAAATAAAATGTATTATTAGTTCTTGTTGCCATTGTGTCCTTTGGCAAGACACTTCAACCAACCTTGCTCAGATATACAGTTTGTTGTGTGTAAATGAGAGATTGGTTGAAAGGAGCAGCACAGCTATAATTTATTTAATATTGTTTTTGGTATAGTCCATTTAAGCTCTTACCTTCTGAACCTGAATAAATTGATGTGATGTTATAACTTAAAGGTCCTAACCTCCTCTTGAATATTTTATAACATTTGCATCACTTTTTGTATCTGGGCTCTGCTTCTAGACTGTGCTGCTATCCTACCCCGTGTGAACCTCCCTGTGAACCTCCCAGTGATCCTCCATTAAAAGAGGATTGGAGTCATTTTGATGCTTTGGTGATTCCCTGATTAAATATAGGAGCCGTGAGCGGAGGAACAATGGCCCTCTGTGTACACACCTCACTGCAGAGCACAGGCTGCACATAGACATTGTGCGGTTTGTTATCACATACTTCACCCAGACAGACAGACAGGGCCACTCAGGTCACACGAGTAAAGCAACTGCACACTCAAGTTATTTCAATACAACTGGAACAAACACTACTGTTTAAACTTATATTTAAATGGAATGTCGCTGGCGGTAGTAGTAGTAGTAGTAATAGTAACAGTACTAGCATTAATAGTAGTACTACAGGTAGCTGCACTAGTAGTAGAAGTAGTAGTCATAGCAGTGGTGGGAGTAGTAGCAATAGTAGGAGTAGTAGAAGCAGCAGCAGTAGAAGTAGTAGTAGTAGTAGTAGTAGTGGTAGTAGCAATAGTAGAAGAAGAAGTAGTAGTAGTAGTAGCAGTAGTAGTTGCAGCAGTAGCAGTAGTAGTAGTAGTAGCAATAGTAGTTGCAGCAGTCACAGTAGCAGTAGTAGTAGTAGCAATAGTATGAGTAGTAGTAGTAGTAATAGTATGAGTAATAGTAGTAGCAATAGTAGTAGTAGTAGTAGTAGCAGCAGTAGTAGTAGTAGTAGTAGTTGTAGTAGTAGCAGTAGTAGCAGAGCGAACAACACTAATAATTATGGTGTTACAAAAAGTAGTTGTCATTTTTTACCTTGATGGAAAAGTGGTTTGTAAAAGTAGTTGACCTCAGTCGTAGTATATTATACTAGTACTAGTTGTGAAAGCAGTGCTAGAATATCTCTAACCTGTACCCTTTTAAATTCAAATGAACACATTCACTCATTCAAATATAGCTGAGTAATATTTATCAAAGCACAAATGTTCTGCTCACAACATTGTTCACCGAGCTCAAGAATGGATCAATAGTTGGTTCCAATGATTTTCTGTTATTTTTCTGCTCTTGATCTGCTTTGAGCCTTCCCCGTGGTCTACTGGTGGTCCTACCGGTGGAGAAGCTCACGTCTAACTGCAGTATTGTGTGTGTGTGTGTGTGTTTGTAGGTGGCCATCAAGTCCATTCGAAAAGACAAGATCAAAGATGAGCAGGACATGGTTCACATCCGCCGAGAGATCGAGATTATGTCAGCACTGCGTCACCCCCACATCATCTCTATATATGAAGGTGAGCCTACTTCTACTACTACTACTACTACTACTGATGAAACCACAAGGCCAAGTTACAGGTCAGATCTGTGGAGAAGTGTCCCCCACATGTTTGTCAAGCAATTTGGCCCAAAAACAATGTGTGTAAGTGAATAAATGGTAAACTGTGGACTATTCAAGACCAAACAATATCATCTGCATGTTGTATACACAGTAAAAAGTGGAGTGTTAAAATTGACTCTCACAGAATCAATTTTAACATTTTCTCAGAGTTTATATGAGTCCAGTCTGTTCTAGAGTTAATTTAACATTTTTGGAAAAGTTAATTAAGTAACATTGGACCAAAGTTAATGTTTAACCCCGAAATCCAGCGTTATATTCACTTTTTGAGAGTAAACAGATAACAATTTGTAGAGTTATCCTGATTTAGCTAAACAACACACAGAGGCGTTTTATTATATTTTTACTTTATTTCAGTTCATTTAAGATGAAATTATGTACAAAACTTTTTCAAACTGGTCTTCTCTCACAAGAGTTTGAAGTGGTGAATGGGAAGAGCCAAAAAAAGAGAAGTAAAATTAACACTAAAAGAAGCTGAATTAACACTAAGGGAAGTTGAATTAACACTAAGAGAAGTTGAATTAACACTAAGAGAAGTTGAATTAACACTAAGAAGAAGTTGAATTAACACTAAGAAGTTGAAGTTGAATTAACACTAAGAAGAAGTTGAATAACACTAAGTTGAGAGGAAGTTGAATTAACACTATTGAATTAACCTCAATCACATCAACTCTGGCAAATAACCCCAACTCAAATCCCCCATTTAACTTTCAAATAGTTAAAATAACACTTTTGGTGTTAAAAACAACTCTGAAATATTTTACCCTAAAATTTTAACCCTCCAGTTTTTGCTGTGTATACATTAAACTACTCAGAGCCATTCACTTACATCAGAATCTCTGTATATATGAATCACACACCTTATTTAAGCGTCAACACAGCAGCCTTTGCTTTGACACACACTCATCATCATAAGACTTCCACTACGGGGCTCATGTTATTTCTCTTTTCAGCACCGTCTGGGGCCCTGAGTGTCTTTGACTCATTGAGCCTGGCTCCCAGCTCTGTGCATGTGCTTAATGTTAATGTGAGTGTGCTTTTATGGGACACTTTTCATCATGATGTGAGCACTGAAATCTGTATAAAATCAATGTGGGAGGACCTTTGGCTTTGAAAAATGAGGTCCCCCCCGAGAGGTCCGTCCTTCACTGTTTGATCAGTGACATTGAACAGTGACATGAAGTTGAAATCTAGGTCGGTTTAGGTCACAGTTGAAGATGTAAGTCTCTAGTACATCACTTGACCTGTAATGTTCCACAATATGGTCTTTATTTAAATCTTAGTGAAAAACATACACATTCTTACTGTGAGTGAGCTCGCCTATCCACAGATCTGAACTAGAACTTGCCCTGGTGACTAGGGATGGGCTTGATTAATCGATTAATCGATAATTGATCATTAAGAATTTCATCGATTACGTTAATTTTAATTGACAAACTGAATGTATGTTGCTGTGTGTAGTGTGACCAAACAGGTGTGTACATGTGTCTCTGCATCAGAAGGAGCGAGACACAAACAGTGGGTCAGTCTGCAACGTACCGAAGCACAAATGTGTATTTAACGATGATTTGTACAAGAAATTCCAGACTTTCCGTTGCGTTTGGGACAAGTGTGAGTCCATGTGCACAGTGTATAAAGCAGCACATATGTTTCTGTGTCCAGTGGGAAGAAGTTTTACCAGGTGAGAGTCGCGCAATGTGGATGACGAGTCCCCACCTCCCTCCCCCCGTACGCTGTCCTGGTTTTGACAAACACAAATATGGTCACACTAACCTGTATTCCACTGAATCATGTCTTTTAATCTGACAGAAATTGACCGCATCAGCGACACAAGAGCTTTTATCTTCGCTTAGTTTATGCAAATTAGCGATGCGGTTTTATGTTTCTTTTCTGTGAGAGTTGAACAAAACTGAATTAAACACATTATAATGTCAAACGGGCTGATGTGGCTCTAGAGTCGTTATGGTTTATATGTCATAAAGTTGAATTTATTTATGCAGATTAGTAGTGCAGATAGTAATAATAATGATGATAATTTTAATATAAAAATGTTAATGATTAATCGATAATCGATCGTTAACTCTTCCGACGATCGATTAAGAAAATTTCATTGAATGCCCATCCCTACTGGTGACGTCATCTATTTGTCCACAAAGAAATTGATGAGTTTAATGCCATACAGGGAAGCATTCATTCTTGTCATGGTATATTATTTACGTTGTTGTTTTATAATCTAAACTCTAGGTGGCGTTATCCTAGTTCGACCTGGTTTATGTTTAGTCACCCTTTAGTCCTCGTTTACTGCAGTGTTAGTCCAGATTCAGACCTGGTTTAGTCTGGATTTAACCAGTCTAGTCCTGGTGGATTTAGAAAGCCAAATATTTCATGACCGTGTAAAATTGCAATCCTCTGTGTATAATATCCCCATAAGCCTTTTCAATGTAACTGTGTGTGTGTGTGTGTGTGTGTGTGTGCGCGCGCGTGTGTGTGTGTGTGCGGGGGAGGTGCAGGGGGTGTTTCGGGGGATTCCACATGTGAGAAGGCCTCTGTCTCGTCTCTCCTCGCTCTGATCTTGATCTGAATGCCAGACATGTGCAAAACTTCCAAAGAAGTGCAGCTGCATACCACATTATACTAGACCTATGCGACTGTGTGTGTGTTTATACATGCTGTGGCTACCTGCACGTGTGGACAATGGATTCTTCCTTTAGATACTGAAAAAAAAAATGCTTGCAAAATGGTGAACAAGTAAGTAATATGTATTGCCATGTGTTTTTGGTTGGGTATTGGTTTAGATTTAGTAAATGATAAAGAAAATGACAGCTCAGTTGGTCGAGTTTGTCCACTGATCCAGAGGTTGGTGGTTCATAAATGTCACTGTTTGGTGGTGCAATTCCAGTTTCAGCTTCCACCAATGAATGTGTTATTGACACTTAACCCACCTCATCCTCAGTCTGTGTACACTGGTGTATGGATGTGTGTGTGAATAGGTGAGTGGTTCCTTGATGTGAAGTGCTTTGAGCCTTTAAAAACATGAAGTTTATTTCCTGAACATAAACTTTTATTCTTGACATGTAAGACAAAAAAAGCCAGATTTCTTCCTACTGATGATAAGAAATTCATAAGTCTCAGTTCAAATTTGATGCATTGCACAGCTCTAGAATAGTCAGGCTGGCGCCACCTAGTGCCTCTGCTCAATTTTATTTTTCTCCAGCGACTAGGTCAGGAATCAGAATACAAAAGACAGTTTACAAGAATCCTGGAAGTGCGAGTTCAGGCACCAGCCAATCAGCGAAGAGACAGACATTCTGTGTTGGCAACGATTCCCGAGATCGAGATTTAAAGCCGGAACAAAGAGAATATTTGGTGAATTTAATCAAGGGGAAAGACGTTATTGTCCTTCTTTCTACAGGATTTGGGAAAAGCTTAATATACCAGTTAGCCCCGTTAGTGGAGCATTACATACAAATAGCAGCAATTGGTTAAATAAAAAAAAGTACTCGCCTACCATCGAGCGAATGAATCCTAATGCTGTGAGGTCAGACAGTTTCTACGAAGTGAAACCGGCTGATGAATCAGGCTGGCTCTAGACTACAATGTTAACAAAAAAGTAGGAATAAACTGTGTCTAAACCAAGACTGAACCAGGACTGAAACAAACCTGAACCAGAACCAAAACAGACATGAACCAGGACTGAACCAGGACTGAACCAGACCTGAACCAGGACCGAACCAGGACTATACCAGGACTAACCTTCAGTGTAAACCAGATTAAAAAGTAGGGCCAAACCAGGACTAAACTAGATCTAAACCAGTTTTAAAACAGGGCCCAACCCAACCCACCAAAAAACCAGAAGCACGAAAAGCCCAGATTTATGACTCGATGTGCACTGTGTCAACAAACATGAAATCTGCACCAGGAAATCACTAAATACAAAATATTGTCCTTCTCATGCAATTAACCTTGACGAACAATTTTAGATTATGTCGTTATGTTTTTGGCTGTAAATCTATATAAGGATAAATGACACACTACAGGCTGAACAATGCCTATTGAATTTCCCCGGTATAGAGCTTTACATTCATCATTTTATATCGCCTCGAACTATAGCCAGTGTTGGGGAGTAACAGATTACATGTACCGGTGTTAAGTAATCAGAGTACAAATTATGAGTAACTGTATTCGGTTACAGTTACTGTTTCAGTGAGTGGTAATTGGATTACAGTTACTTTGTTGAAATAAGTGGATTACACAGCGGTACTTTCCGGGTTTTCACGTTATTTTTATTTTTATTTATTTATTTATTTTTTTCGAAAATTCCACTCATTGCTGGAAACTAAACCAGGACTAAAACCAGGACTAAAACCAGGCCTAAATTAGAGCTAAACCAGGACTAAACCAGGCCTAAATTAGAGCTAAACCAGGTTTAAACCAGTACTAAACCAGGATTAAAACCAGGTCTAAACCAGGACTAAACCAGGATTAAAACCAGGTCTAAACCAGGTCTAAACCAGGACTAAAACCAGGACTAAAACCAGGTCTAAACTAGATCTAAACCAGGACTAAAACCAGATCTAAACTAGATCTAAACCAGGACTAAAACCAGATCTAAACTAGATCTAAACCAGGACTAAAACCAGGTCTAAACTAGATCTAAACCAGGTTTAAACCAGGACTAAACCAGGATTAAAACCAGGTCTAAACCAGGACTAAACCAGGATTAAAACCAGGACAAAGCCAGGACTAAAACAGGACTAAAACTGATTTTAAGAGGACTAAATCATGGTGCGTGGACGTGTCTCCTCCTCTTCTATCAATAATGTTTTTAATACAGTTAAGTATCCTAGTCTTTGTTTCTCTACAGCAAATCAAGTAATCCAAAGTATTCAGATTACATTA